TGTGTTTTACATAAACATTGGTTTTGAGCGGCACCGTATCCAAAACAGAGCTACGTTGCGTGCGCTGATAAAGTTCACTTAAGTGTCTCGAATTAGAGGTAATCCATTCATTCCTGAAAAAATTCAACCGCGCTGCGTGACACTAAGGTTCCAGTTGTGAAGTGGTCATTGCACCTTCGACTTTATCGGTGTCGTCGGTGATATGTTTCCGTTGGTAAGGACTATATCTGGACCATGCTTAGGTCTTGACAACCACGAAACGGCATCAACCTATGGACGTGTGAAATGTACTTTGCATGAACGTCCGGCGTTCACCGTCCATGTTTGTCGATATTATTACTTACATATTAACTCGACTACTGAGGAGTGCAGCAGTAGTTCATGGGTGAATGGGTATTTCACGCTGGGATCGACAGCACTGATCTGTGAAGTTGACGTCCAGCGGACCACAAGGGACGTGATAAAAATTTCCAAAAACGGTGCCTGACAGGATATACAGTTCTCCAATACCCGGCCTAAAATGGTTCCCTTTTACGGGTTAGAGAAAACAGAGTTGAAAAATATTCATCGCATGTGGGATAGCTGGCGAGTTACTCGGCGAAGATAGCCAAAGGTAATCGGTGTGAGCTATCAATTGGCCGAATGTGAAAGTTCTGCGAGTTTCAGTCACTGATGACGCTCACTGACCGGGAAGCCATGACAGATGATTCAACCGAGAGACGCGATCAGGATGGTTACTGGTGAAATGAAGAACGCCTTCGTTGCGGAGTTACTAACGTCATCAACCTCACCCATGGACGTATGAAGTGTACTTTGCATGAACGTCCGGCGTTCACCGTCCATGTCGGTCAATATTACTACTTTCATATTTACTCGACTACTGAGGAGTGCAGCAGTAGTATGTGGGTGAATGGGTATTTCACGCTGGGATCGACAGCACTGATCTGTGAATTTTACGTCCAGCGGACCACAAGGAACATGATAAAAAGTTTCCAAAAACAGTGCCTGACAGGATACATAGTACTCCCATACCCAGCCTAAAAAGGTTCTCTTTTACAAGTTAGAGAAAACATCGTTGAAAAATATTCATCGCATGTGGGATAGCTGGCGAGTTACTCGGAGAAGATAGCCAAAGGTAATCGGTGTGAGCTATCAATTGGCCGAATGTGAAAGTTCTGCGAGTTTCAGTCACTGATGACGCTCACTGACCGGGAAGCCATGACAGATGATTCAACCGAGCGACGCGATCAGGATGGTTACTGGTGAAATGAGGAAAGCCTTCGTTGCGGAGTTACTAATTAGAAAACGCCAACAAAACAGTTACAAATTATTGGACAGGGAAGCAAAACTCTCACAGTTACAGACTATTGGACAGGGGAGCAAAACTCTCATATGCATCTTGTTTACAAAACTGAATATCCATCTTCTTGAACGCGTCTTCGTGAACTTTCCTGGATATTCATTGACTGTTACTAAAATGCAAGCGAATGCTAACAAGTGACTCCACAAATTTCGTAATAGATCTCACTTTTCAAGAGACGTGAAGCGGATTTACGGGAAGACATACTACTCGCGTGTCCCATAAGTAGTATTCACCGTTACACTGGGTCTTCATTCGAGGCATCAGGCAGAATAATCGCATCGCACCAGCGCGAAGAGTCGCCTGTTCGCACGTAGAGAATCATGTTCGTCCAGCGTGCGCTGGTGAAGTAGTGTTGACGCGCTCGCCTCGTAATTCCAACAACTGGAGTTCGAAACCCGTTGAGACCAAAGATCTGCACTAATGATAAGCTCTACTAAGAGCGAAACTCGAGTCCAGTGCTCCCCTCTTTGACGATGGATCACCAGAAGAATTGGTTCAGAATGGGACAACTGTTCAAACGAGATTAATGTGGATCTTAGAAATGCTGAATCCACTTACAATTATATCTATGTATACTAAGGACCATCAGTGAAGTCCGAATGAAAGTGGACTTTTCCAAACGGGGATTCTGCATCCAGGTATCCTCTGCTCAACCGGCCTCATACGTAGAACGTTCCTTCAACCATAAACATGGGATATCATGCAGGCGGCGACATTCACCCACTACCGAAAGTTCTAGTTACTCCCGATAAAATTCTTCAGCTATTTTCCATTCATCAAGTCGTTCTGTTTCAAGCTACTTTGTTGATCATCTCTAGGTCTTTCCATCAGTGGTAAGTACGTCAATTCCTTCATATTGGTCAGTCCTAATATCACCTTCAGTTGAAATTGTTCAACTGTAGCACCCTTTCGGTGCTTAACTGCCATGCCACTCGAAGATTGCAAGAGGGTTGAGATACTGCCAGGTCGCCCAAGTCTAGACAGAGGGAGTCGAGAGGCAGAGGTCGGGTTCAAACCACGGACCTTCCGGTCAATGAATTCGCGCTCTAACCACTTGAGCCATCTCTCCCCCTTCGGTTGAGCAGGATCACGGGAATGGCATTCAATGAGAATTTGTTAATGGTGATCACCCGACAGCCAACCCGAATTGCTCACACCCTGATGCTGTTTCAGGCGAGTATGACCTGCAAGACTCTCTGTCGAACGACTTCGGTCATGGTTCGGAAGGAAGGATGTCCAGCACAGACCAGCACTGCCAAAAACTGCAGCAGCTCAAAGAAATTATATACGATGGATCAATTAAATTTAGCATCAGAGGCATAACCGTTATAGCACCTTGAATTCGGTTTTTTATAGACTTTCTCACTCAATCAAAATAGAGGATGAAACTTCGTATTTTTTTAAATATAGCTGATACATCTAGGCAGCTACATGACATGAACCTAGTTCATGTAACCAAGTTCTATGTGACCACACTGTTGTTGAGTTTTACTCGTCGGCAATCCCATGGCAACCGACTTGGCCGACTGCCAAAAATTGGTGAACGCAAGCTGTATTGAAACCAAAAGCTCGAGATTTTTCAATTTTTTCACGTGCAGGACTTGTTTCCTTCGTATTTTTAAAAGGTTTTATCTAGTGAAGAATCGCCTTTAGCTTTTATCAGTATTTAGCCCATTTTCGGTCTAAATCAGCCAAACATTTGTTACGTAACAGGACACGAAGTAGATTGTGAGAGAGCCTGAATGGCTACTTTTTTATTGACCCTCATTGACCGAACTAATTAGTTTGAAATCAAAACGGCAAATGACTTAAGCCACGGCGGTACAGTAGCTTGAGGCTATCACACGTTTGACGACCACATGTGATGTCATGTCTGCGACCGCCAGCTAGCGGCAACTTTTCACTTATTGATGATTTTAGGCCAGATGGCCAAGAACTCATCGTTGGAAATTCTGCGCTTGATTTCCAATGGAATCTGTCTACTTCCGGCCACATTCACTGGGAATGTGGATGCGGATCGGAAATTAGATAGCCCTGCCCAAATTACGTCGCATCGGACATATTTAGAAAGCGAGCGTTCCGCATGGACTTCTTACTGTCACAAAGATCAACATCCTTTGCAAAAACACAAGAAAACGCCCAGGGCCTTGAAATTGTTGGCTTGGAGGTTGTTGAAGAGTTGCACTTATGCCAATCAAAATAAAGACTGACATAAATGAGTGATATCCGTTTCAAGATTTCAAGCAAGTTGTAGCCAGGACAAGCGACTAAAGCGCTTGCCCTAAAACGCATATAGAACTATTTTGACACCCGGCTGCTCAATGATACGAGCGACACCTAGACAAAGCCACTCACGATTTTGAGTTTGAAATCTACCTTGCACCTGGGGAGTCGTGAAACACGCACCTCACAAGACTCGAGTGAACAACCCTCTGAGTGAGCTGTAACAGTTTTCAACTACCAAATACAAGCAAGCAGTCTCTTGTCCTCGTTCACCATACATTGTCAGTCCCGTTCCACGAAACCCGGTTGTATTCTGTACCTGTCCACTAGAATTGGAATCGTGAATTTCTAAAGATGAACCGCGCGTCCCCTTATTTGCTACTTATTCTGTGAGATCTTAGGTTGATAAGTTCGAAATGGCATCGTCATGCAGACTGCCCGTTCTTCTAACACTAACAGGGATATGACAACCGTACGGTGCTTCCCGCTTCTTCAGCACGGGTTGACTTCACTCACCGGTGAGATCGCTAACCTATTGAGTCAACGTCTGCAGCAGTTCCGTACTCTTACGTTGGTTAGATGCAAAATCATAGGTACATTTTGTAGCACTGTGGGTGGACCCCTGAGCAATATTCATAGCGTAAAACAATGTTAAAAGTAACAATTCATGCATGGATAAATACCACACAGTTAAAGGTGGCCCCAGGGCTGCCCAAGCCTGACTAGATGCAAGCGAGAGGCTAGAGTTGGGTTAGAATCACGGACACTCTGGTCAGCAGTTTAGTGTTCAGTTATTCCTGGAATCTTGGAGTTTTGCGGGATAGGTGTTTGTTCATAGCCACACCACTCTCGTTTGAACGGCCGTGTTCCTGTTCTGGCATAATTATTCCGGTGAGTCCACACCAAAGGGAAGCACTGGACTCGAGTTTCGCTCTTGTTAGAGCTCACCAGCAGTGCATATCCAATGGCCGCGCCGGGATTTGAACCCCGGACATCTGACATGCGACGCGAGCGTGTAACCACTACTCCACCAACGCCCGTTGGGCATCTGAATTAGCACGTCTGAAGTCACAGTTGAGCGATGTGATTGGTGTGCCCGACTCATCGAACGACGACCCTACCTATCCCGCAAAACCCCAAAATTGCAACCAAAAACCTGCCCAGTGGGTTTCAAGCGTGTGCCACACTAACTAACTGGGAAGCCCTGAATGGCGGGTCAATCGATCGTCACAACCAGGACAGTTACTGGGTCGTCGTTCGATGAGTCGGGCACACCAATCACATCGCTCAAGTGTGAACACGTTCAACTGTTCAGACGTGATAATTCAGATGTGTCCAACGTGCGTTGGTGGAGTAGTGGTTACACGCTCGCCTCGCATGTCAGATGTCCGGGGTTCAAATCCCGGCACGGCCATTGGATATGCACTGCTGAGAGCGAAACTCGAGTCCAGTGCTTCCTCCCTTTGGTGTGGACTCACCGAAATAATTACGCCAGAACAGGAACACGGCCGATCAGACGAGAGTGGTGTGGCTATGGATAGTCATGGAATATTCGATCCCAATTCCGTAACGATTTACTGAGGGTACCTCTGGCTTGAATATGCTTATCACTCCGCCGTCAGATCGATTATCAAGTCCGTTACGAATTTACAATAAACAGTCGGATTAGTCTGGAAACCCATTTGGGACAAGGCACTTCGGACTTGTATCATCTGGTTCGAGATCCCGAAGGTAGAGGGCACCCCAGGATAACAGGATGAAAGTCAATCTCTCTGCTGCTGAATTACATTCTACTAGAAACGGTTCAGTTGAGCAACATGCTAGTTTATCGGTTGTCGATCAGGTAGCTGTTGATCTGTTCACCTGATCAACAACCAAGAAACTCATTCGAGCTACCAATATTTCACCACATTACCAACATGCTAGGAAGTGCCAAGGAAGTTATGAGTGACAGTATGCCGCAGATGATGTGCAGGATAAATCTCCGGTCGACCAATCACCAGCCCGAAAAATGAAACATTAGGTAACGAGAAAAAGAGTAGATTTCCGAAAAAAGAAAAGGTTCAGAGAATCCCTTTACATTAATCATATTTCTCAAAAAAAAAACTTGAACCATAGCGTTAGGTAGGCAGATGTCCCTTTCGAAAGTGAGCAAACGAAATAATTTTTAATGGAGACTTTGTCCTGTAGGTGAAGCCAACCTATGCTTAAAAGACGAGGAGCACTGTACAAACGTTCCATCCTTATTTGGAATCGTCAGCAGCGCACATCTGTAGTAACGTATTTTCCTCAGCTTAGTTTTCGGTTTGAGCCTCCCAAGCTAGCGTTCACGTCAAAACAATCGCCAAAGGTGCACAAGGTCTATTAATGCCCGAAACGAAGTCAGGAACAGTTGTACAGCGCTTCGTATATGTAGCGTAGGCGGTTATAACTTTCTGGAATTTCTGGCGCGTTCTGGATGCGCCATTGGCAACCGGTATTTGGCCAATACTGGATCATGATTGGCTGTTGGGTCCAGATTCCCCACCAATCAAATCTCGTCTTGATGCCGGACCGGCAAGCGTCCCGAATTCTTGGCCAATCTCGTGCGGGCTAAGCTTATCGGCCGTAGCAGCGCCTGAAGACGTGCGTTATAGCGGGATCCGTCTGGATTCCAGCCTAACAACACCTCACTTAACTCCAGACAGTTTCGAATGGGCTAGTAGTTTGAATAGTTAACCGATCGGCCACGAACTACTTACCAGTGGCGCAAATAACTCGCACTTAGATAATTTCCTCTAAAACCTAATCATTCAATTCAAAGCACATTCAGGTACATGATTAAAACCAGGGATTCGGTCGGACCCCCAGAATCGGAACGTCCCGCAACAGAACATTCCACAAACAGTCATTAATGGAACGAGGCCTCATTGTGTAAGCAAATCACTCGGAAAAGAAAAAATAACAAGTCGCAAAGGCCATCCGTTTGAGAACCCACAGAACTAGTCAACGCAGGATCACATGACGTGAACGGCACCATTGATTGTGGTGGTGCTATATTCAGTTTAGATGAGCGTTAATCACTTAGCAGTGTTGTGTAATGTAGGTAGCTCGGTGCAGGGTTGTACTCAACCCTGCACTGACGATGTCACCTTGATCGGTGATCAAACGTTTGCAATCCAACTGCCAAGCTCGGCGAACAGACCAACAACCAAGCGTTAATCACTGCCAATCGGCCACTCGTTGCTGAACAGTATGGCGTACAATTCGGCAATTCGCAGGTAAGAATCATTCTGGAGATTCATGAGATGCGCGATGATGATGAATCCTCACATGGAAGAAACAAATGTTCTCGGGTCCGAATAAAGCTTATCACTAACCCACCACTTCGCACCACTACGCTCCCCAACAATGCACTGATGACGTCACCTCGATTGATGATGAAACGGTTGCAATCAAATCGCCAGCTCAGTGAACAAACCAACGACCATTATCATAACCATGTCCGGATCATCTGGGAATTTCCAGATTTTTCTCGAGCCAATTCGTTTTAATTGAAACAATCATGCGTATGTGATCCAAGGACAAGGTGCGGGATGTGGGTTGTGCATATTCAAAGTATGTTAGCTATAAAAAAGGGCGTCGTTGAAATCCAGACTAGCATTATCCAAAACGACTGTCTGTTAATGTGGACTCTAAAGCACACATAAGATTGCGGGTTGGCCTGAATGTGGATAGTATCCAAAAATAGCCAGTTAATCAGTGGTTCAATTTTCGAGCCATGCACCAAATGTGGAACACAGGCATGGAAGAGTTGATCGAAAAGCCAGGAACTGAAATCTTTGTCAAAGCCATTGGGTAAACCAAACAAATGTCGACGGCGCATGTGGGACTGAATCAGTCGTCTTGTGGCACATTGGTGAACAGATATGACATGGATTCGTCGTTGTGAATGCGGCGGATGGCTTCGGCCAAGAGGACACTAATGTCCACCGTGCGGATCTTGTGGCACTGCATCTTTTGCACTTCGTGAGGTACAGTGTTGGTGACAACCACTTCGTCGATCCGGCTCTCTTCCAGTTGTTGAGGCGCATCGGCACTGAGTAGACCGTGAGTAGCGAATACAAAGACCTAAAAAATCAATAAACAAGCAATTAATCGAGGACAACGCACAAAGTCAGACGGAAAATATTCCGTAGTGACTGACCTTGGACAGCCCAAGCCACTATGTTGCAAAAGTAGCCCAACTCACTACGGAATTGCCCAATAGGTGAGCGTGCCACCCTTTGACCTTGGAGAGTTGGCTCGTTGCGCCAAAGGAACCGAGTGCCATACAAGAACCGACAAAAACACAGAGCAAATGAACGCTATCCTTTTACGAACATAACACATTCCAGTGATATTCGGATGAACTATGTAGATAGACCAGCAGACAAGAGGAACAATAGCCGTAGAGTCGTGTGCCGGCCTCAAAGCGGGCCAGAAGATTAAAACCTCAGTGGCTAAATAATACTGTGGAATGGGTCCGTTCATTCATCTGCGAAAGTTATAATTATCTTCGTGAGGGCTAACTGAGTCAACTGCAACAGGTTGTTGGTCTTCAAGGGGGGATTCCCGGAATATAGGGGCTGCTCGAATGGAGCGCAGCTTAATCGCGGTGTGGTGAAGGAAAGAATAGCAGAGCACAACCGAACAACCTGAAACCGATAACATCGTCAGTTCAAATCATGTACGAGCTACGTATCAAGAACTCTGACGAACTGGAAGGAGCATCATTTGGATTCCCGATCACACGCTCGACTGTTGTTGATGTCCTTTGAACTTTGCGAGGGACGTGCAAGATGAGTACACCTCGCCTGTCATTGAGAAGATACCGGACCTGAAGATTGGGCAAACTTCTTCCGGAGGGTTCACCTTTCGATACCGACTCTTACCGGAAAGTACTACCCTCAACCTTGGAAAGTACACGTTTCATTGCCTGTGAAACAGCGCAATCAACTCGACTGGAGTGATGTAATTGGATCAAAAATATAAACTCGCTCGAAGCTCAGATATGTAGTACTCCTGGTTGAGAGCACGATACAACTCGACAAATCGTCCGACATCTGCGTGAACCAAGAAGCATGGTGGGCCCAGAACGCAAAGGTGGAGGAAGCGAGGAAGTTTAGGAATGTGCGGAGACTATTCCAAACGAAGTACATAAAGGTTCAAAACGACCTCCAGTGAGCGACTCAATTAATTTTAGAAACGATTTGTTCACATGTAAAAAAACGCTTGAATCGGTAGGTCGAAGATTTTCAACAATAACTCAACCAGCCACTTACAATTGCACAGTCGGATTCAAGATCTGCAGAACATTCCTGAACGCGAAACCTACGACGGTTTCGGAAATACGCTGCCTTTTCACCTCAAGCTGCCGGTCCTGATGAACTCCCAACTGCTGTATTTAAGGATGGGGGCGAAACTTTCGGTCGGTGCCGGTAACCTATCTGTTTCTCCTAGGCTAAAAGATACCGTCCCAAAAACCTGGGACGAGAGCACGTGAATACGTGACTCAAGAACAGCATGCAAATTTTCTTCAAGGATGATGCATGGACCACACTTTCGAATTTCAAGTTTTAGAGCAACCACAAACCTACGGGTGTCCTGCAGTCATAGTATTCCTTGACTCCAAGAGTGGGTTCGATTCTGCCGATCATATGGCTCTCCTCAACACACTCGTGCAACAGGGTATGTCTCGGAAATGAATATCATACACGTCTTGTAATCGTATACTTGTGAGAGCGTGTGAGGAGCAGTGCTGTTCGATAAAGATACCCAATCTCTCCTTTCCTGTTGAATTTCGTCACTGATTAGGTGGTGAAGAGACATTGGAAGTTGTATAACGTTACAGTATCTCCGGAGTTGTATTAGTTTCGATGGCAGTGTGATGGGTGAGGTCAACTCATAAAGGTCAGATTTGCGCTTGACAATTTGTGGCATGTGGCATCAAAAAGACATATCACTGGATCTCAAAGGACGCGTGTGTCAAATTACAGTGCGCTCTATATTGTTATACGGCTTCCAGACTTGGCCAATCTGAGTGAATGATACGAGGCACGTTTACTTCATTGAACGCCGATCTATCAGAACTATTGCTGAAGATGGATGGTATTAGTGAGTTCACGGTGAGGTGGTAAGGAAACAGGCCTTCGATGAAGTAAAGGTATTTCACCCATGGAATGAATCCAGCACAGCGAGCCAAGATGACTGGGCCACGTGCTATACCGAATTACCGTCTACAGAGAAGACCCAATGCGCTGGCTGGGATCCTATCACGGCGCCCACACCTAGACAGGAGGAGGACTAGGGTTCTTTACCAAAGCCTATCGCTCAAAAGCCTGACAGCAAGGTAGCGGGTGGGTGCAAGTATACTATTACAGTAGTACAGGTTTATCAAGGAACAAGTCTTCGTATTGGTCCAAATCCCCAACCTGGAGGATAAGCAGGCCGTGCTTCTCAAAGCTCTCTCCTGTGACCAACCTGGTGTCAGAAACTCTGCGGGTGTCAAAGTGAAACCCCCCAATAAAGCTCACTGGGTCACACACCGTCACATTGCAACACGGTTCAGTCGCTTTGCACCGGTTAGCAATGCATGCTGAGCCTCAGGTGGTTACCGGTAGCTGTGGAAGCCAGTTATTTTGCACCGGGGTACACAAAAGCTACCATTTCAGACTCAAACAATGGCGAAGAAAAGTTGAGGAGATTCCTGTAAGGAACCATCACGAAACTCCCTGTGAGACTAGTCTATCATCTAGTGAGGGTCTGTTGCAGTGAGGCACGTTGGAGCTGACCACCACTACAATCATTGCTTGGACGACACAGATCATTACCATGATGAGAAGACACCACAAGAGAAGAGAGTAGTTGGTCTCTCATGGAACTCGCTCAGCTGTAACACCCTTTCAGTACCTAACTACCATGCTACCCGAAGGAAGTACGAGGGCTGGGATACTGTCAGGTTGCCCGAGCGTAGACAGGAGAAATCGAGAGGTAGGGGTTGGGTTCCAATCACGCACCTTCCGGTCAGCTCCTCAAAGGTTGATCATCGTATCAAACAGGAAACACCACTGAGGGTTCCCTAGGCGTTCGCTTATTTTCCGATATACCCAAATATTCGTTTCCCTCGCCAAGTCAGTATCGACAATGCAGCCACTACTAGATAGTTTACATGCGCTTGGTCACGAAACTCCGAGTTTTTAGCCATTGGAAGGATAACGAAGCATTCAGCTGAGCCATCTACAGGGTGCATTTCAGTGTCCTGTCAACCCAATCGAGGTTGCTGGAGACCGATGGCACACTGAAAGCTGCCGATTTGGCTACCGTCAAGTGACGACAGCACCTTTTACACTAGATGGAGAGTAGTGAATAATGACATCGGACCAAAATCTGGCAATCCAACTGTTTACGTGAGTACTAATGAAAAAAGACTCATCAACCAGAGCTTTCATGTGAAAAGTGACAAAGGGATACGATCAAATGAGGCCAGGAGAGAAAGACTTGCCTTATACGCTCCCCAATCGTGTAATAGGTCCGCAGCTCTTACAAACTGCTCCACATCATCAATGATATCATCCACAATGATAGCTATACGTCCATTCACATCACCTACGAGAGTCGGTGGCGGTTTGGCTTTCGAGACCATGAAGGGGAGAATTTCAATTCCTGTGTGTTCCACAGGTCTGCAAATAAGGAGGAATATAAGGAGGATAAAATGAACTCGGATAATAATAATGGGTCGGGAAAAACAGAACTCATCTGACTCTTACTTCCTTTCCGATTGAAGACTTTCCAGTGGGGGTGAGTTGCGACCGTCGTTACGCTCAGATTCATCTCGCTCTTCACCGTGGATCACCACAAGCGGCAAACGTAGTCTTTCCGCATAGCTGGTGGCCCGTGGGACCACACCCGGATGCCTTGCGACGATCACTGCGTTCCGATAGTCTAACACATAGGTCTCTATGTATTTGATGAGGAACGGGGAAGCGCGCAGATTATCCGTCGGTACGTCGAAAAATCCCTAACAGAGAGAAAGAGGCATGAGATATCAGGAGGGTGCGAAGGAAACAGCAAGAAAAAGCCTATCCACAACCTGCAGTGTGCGGGTGTAACTAGAACTGAAAAGAATGCAGAAAAGTTTGGGAGTCACGTCGTGCATCCAGAGGAGGCAAGGATTCATTTAGAATGCCAACGCAAGGCTTAAAAAATGGGTAGACTCCTCCACTAGGAATGGTGACTTCATGATGAAAACCCGCAATACGTACTATCTCAAAAGGGTAGATGGAAGCTGATTGAGCAACTTACACGCAAGGCTTAAAAAATGGGTAGACTCCTACACTAGGAATGGTGACTTCATGATGAAAAACCGCAATACGTACTATCCCAAAAGGGTAGATGGAAGCTGACTGAGCAACTCAATTTAATTCCTAGAATCATCCAACTTGAAAAAGCCTGAAAGAGACCAGTAGCACCAACATCTAACCCAAAGTTAAAAATTTTGATACGCTGTTGGACTGACTATAGCTGAATGAAGATAGCAGCGTAGTTTAAAACTGTCTCCAGTGGAATTTCAACACTCCAAAAAGCTTGGTTTATCTTAGGTCGTCGTGTTAACCATTCATCTGGTCTCCCTGGACTGAGCGACTAACTAACACTCAACAATGTCTGAACGATTCAAGTGCAATGATGCGGCCCAACCATATTGGCCACTCTGTCGATCTCTAATTTCGAGACAACACACCCAAAGATGAAACTGAAATAATGAAAATAATCATTCAGCTACAATACCTTTTAGGTATCAGGTTGCCATGCTACCCGAAACAAGCACGATGACTGAGATGCTGCCAGGTTGTCCAAGCCTAGACAGAATCAGTCGAGATGCGGAGGCTGGGCTCGAACCACGGACCTTCTGGCCAGTAATTTCGCACCTTGACTACTGAGCTACCTCGAGCTATGAAGATGGAAGGCAACAGTACTACTGAGCGGTCACATCAGTCGAAAAGAGGAGTCTCATGGATTTTCTCAAGTAGCAAGCCCTTTTGTGAGCGTAACATACGGATATCTGTCGGAAAAAGGTTCTTCTTTCTGTGGATATAAAAACGGGTTGGAGCAGTGAATATGACCGCAAATATATCCAGGCAATCGATGCGCGGGACACAAAACACTTCAAACACTGGGTTCGTGAAGTCTCCCAGTAAATGCACCTCGAGTTCCACAAGCCCACATGATTTACTGTCTTCAGAACTCTTGTAAGTTTCTGTTGATTTGCTGTTGCAATATCGTCTTTTTTGTCGCGGAGTAGGCCGGAAATCTACCGACTGAAGTGCAACGGCAGCCATTCCGCTACTTTTTACTCATGCTCATTAGTAGTCGTCATTAGTCTCCAGGCTGCACATCATCCTTAACTATGCCGTGTTGTCACGCACTGGCCTCGGCTCGTTCTAAAGGCTTTCATGTAACCAAGCGAGAATCGCACGCTTAGTGTTGGCCATGTAGTATAAAGCTGATACAAGTGCTTGTCCGGATTTCACTGTTGCATGGGAGGCTAAACCGAACAGATGTTGCAGTTATACCGATTCTCTTTACAAGCCTGCGCATAAGAAACGAACGGTGCGCACCGAAGTTGAGTGTGAGGTGCATGCTGTGGTCTCTTCTGAGGGTGGCATCTTCAGAACAGAACAAATGTACCTGTAAATCAACTTTGATGTAACACTTAGTTCATCATAGAAACGACCATCGGACAATCACAGTTTTTAAACACTGTAGTCACACAAAGTAGAGTTGTTGGCAATGCGTTGGGTGCGTTTATTGGCTTTTGATTTAAACTGATCAAAAGATCAACAATATATACGATGGCCCATCGTTCCGTAAAGCTTATGGCTGCGCATGGCTTCGCCTTTGACACCAGAGTTTAATCACGTCAACTGACTACGTTACAATGTTGGCCGAGCTTCAAGGGAGACAAAAGCCCAATCTGTAGAATCTCTATATATTAGTAAGCCTAACAGCTTTTGTTAGTTACTGTGGGCAAGAGACCCGGTCGGTTTCAACTTACTGAAATCAACACCCGTTAGATGAATTGAGAAATGCAATATCGGCTTCGTTTTTTTTGTTCGGCCACTCAAAATATCTCTATTACTGTCAAGAATTTCTTCAAATAAGCCTTGAATAAGCCTCATGAACATTCTCCACCAAATACGTGTATTTTGGTTTCATGCTAAGCATTTTACTCAAAGTACTCCAAAGTTAAATACGAATGGTTCGACTAAGGGTAGAAATGAAAGTCGCACATATGATGTGCATCAGAGTATAAGATCCTAATTCGGTGACGCCATCCGACAACAGCAGTATTGCTTTAGGGCTGGGCGAAAAAAAGCTCTGCCAGTAATGGCCTTCTGGAATGCATAGTACATGTCCTAAATAGCGCAACCTAAGGAGCGTGATAACTCATACATCGTGGGAGAGTTCGGTTTTCCGAAACCCGTCTGGTATACTTCAGCATTACTAATCCGATGTTCCCACCAGATCAGGCCAATGCTTCGGAGACACCGACACTGACAAGTTTTGTACATTCTGTGTGCATCTAAAGATGATGAGTACATCAATCACTACACAACTTTCTCTGCCATCGGTAAATAAGTGTCTGTGGAAAACATTAACACGGGTCCAAAAATCCCTATTCGTGAAAAAGGCCCCACCTTCAGCATACTACCATAGTTTCTTTGGAACTACAAGTGCTTGAACGTGTTTTATGCAGCATGCTGATTAGTAACATGACACGACTGTGTGGTAGCAAAATAGACCGACCCACACAATGGCCGGATATGAGAAGTATTGGCCCCAATGTGAGCGCATGGTTTATTTTCCGGCCGGTATTTGTCTCACGTTGGTAGGACCAATCACTACACAACTTTCTCTGCCATCGGTAAATAAGTGTCTGTGGAAAACATTAACACGGGTCCAAAAATCCCTATTCGTGAAAAAGGCCCCACCTTCAGCATACTACCATAGTTTCTGTGGAACTACAAGTGCTTGAACGTGTTTTATGCAGCATGCTGATTAGTAACATGACACGACTGTGTGGTAGCAAAATAGACCGACCCACACAATGGCCGGATATGAGAAGTATTGGCCCCAATGTGAGCGCATGGTTTATTTTCCGGCCGGTATTTGTCTCACGGTACTTGGTAGGACCAGTACTAGTTCATATTGGAATGTATCGAAGTGTACGAACCTAAGAAGTCGACAAACTGGTTTCAAAAATCGAAAATCATCGGAGGTTTTCCGTTGTGTCTAAAAGAGGTAGTCGGGATAGGAACCGAGAAGTCGTTCAGCTATAGCACCCTTTCGACACCTAACTGCCATGCCGACCAATGTTGCACCGAGGGCTGGGATACTGCCAGGTCGCCCAAGCCTAGACAGGGGAAGTCGAGAGGCGGAGGTCGGGTTCGAACCATGGACCACTCGGTCAGTAAATTGGCGCTCTAACCAATTGGGCCATCTTGCCTCATCGAGAAGTCGGCCATTCAGAAAGCTTTACCGGACGAAGATCGACGGAGTTTCGGTTCCAAAATGGAGCGTTTTGAACCTGCTAGTGGCTCACCTGAATTTCCTTCGAATGCAAGTCCAAAGTGATCACATGATCTATCCCAGAAGCGCATAACATTTTGGCCAAAAGTTTGCTGGTGATTGGGCCCCGCTTTCGTCGTTTACTCTGCTTGCAATAGGGTAAATAGGGGACCACAGCGACGACTTTCCGTGCACATGCAGATTTGGCAGCGTAAGCAAGAATCAACAGTTCCATAATATCATTATTTACATCTCTGGTGCCCGACTGAATGATGTACACATCTCTACCTGAAAGCATTGGAACGTGAACAGAGGCGGGGAATACCTCGAACAGTTTCACCCAAGTCCACCATCGTCTCTCGACTAGGGCGAAAGTAGACGGAGCATTTTGCCGGTTGTGCGTCCAGGTGACGGCAGACACAACTGACCAATTCAGGATGTGAGTTGCCGGCTAAAATCACCATACCCCTGGAGTGCATCGAACCCATGCCGAACAAAGCAGCCCGTCGTCGAGCAGCCGCGAGACCAAATGATCCTGACATTTCAAAAATTCTGAGTATATAGGTCCACCAAAGACCAATAGCCTTGGATAAAACAAATGAATTCAGATCTGAAATGAAAGAAAATACATGTTTAGGCGGTTAATGCGGTAGTGTCCGGGGTTTAGGACACCAAGCAGGAAAGGTTCACAGGCTTGGTGGTTCAAAAGAGCCTTTGAAATGGATGCCTGCAGAAAACCACTTCATTAACAGGCTGAAAAATTAAGTGTCTTGGTTACATCCTAGGCAAAGAATACGAGGAACGCAAATGGCTAGAGGAGCCTCCAAAATTACGTGGAGTACTGTCAAGACCAGTTCGATCGGCCTAGCCCATCGAAAACTGGCTCTCAATCGTCACGCATAACATGTCCGCCATCTACATCCAGTGCATCCTGACTGACCCGAGATCTTGAGCTTTAAAAAGGCCCGTGAGCGGATGAGCTAAGACCCACGTCATTCAGATAAAGTGGTACATGAGGGTGTTCAGGGAACATATTCCCTTTGAAGATTTTCTAGCAGTTCACAGCTATCAAAGTAGAGTGGTGGAAGTATTTCCTCGTTCTCAAATGATGTTTGGAAGAAGCCTCGTGGGACATGCGACGTTTCACCCTTCAGATAGGCGCTGAAGGAAATTCTAGCTATCCCTAATACGTTATTTTACGAAGGTACGTGAAGACGTAACCCGTGAACAGCGAGAAGGATTCCGAACTGAAATAGGTTGTGTGGACCACAAATTCGCACTTCCTTAAGTGTGTATAGGTTGGACGAAGCTAACTGTGAAACCAAGTACCCACCTCTCTGCAGTGCTGCTACATAGTTGTCATGCGGTGTGGTCAGCCATATCGTTTAATCATAAGTATACCCGGAGCAGTTGAACTCCGTAGGTCCACACACATCAGTTGCATATATGATAGAGCGGAGATGGTCCCGAACTGAAAGCCAGTGGCACCCATCGGTGAATATTCCCATCTTAAGAGAGTGCCATTGATTCATATGGCTCACCAGTATCACCAGAGATAGCCGCATCATGGCTGTAGAGATGACTCAGTGACTAAGGGGCGAGCTTACTGACCGGAAGGTCCGTGGTTCGAATTCGGAATCTGCATGCTGACTGCTCCTGTCAAGGCTCTCGTGTAGCCAGTTAGCATGGCAGCTGAGCACCGAAAAGGCACTATGGCTGGGCGACATTCCGTAAAAGTGCACACTGATGTTGTTGCACTGCAATCGAGGTGCACAGGCAACGGCGAACGCCCGCTGTTATGTGCTGACCACAGACTACTTGTGTGCAGTAGAAACTTCCGAAACGACCGGAGTCCGCTGGCCACTGGTGCCCCCGCACTGAAGCTTACATCGAAAACATAGACCACATCGCCGTTAACTATACGTGTGATGGGTCAGTTACTTATTGTCGCGTGTCATGGAACAATTCCGTGAATTCGAACTGCGCGCTTCTTCGTTGCTGCTTCTCGCTGCACTTTCCAGGGACTCGTAAGGTGCGCACACCTCGCCTAACCATTGAGGGACTCTCCAATCCTCAGGCGAACCAAACCTACCACATCCACCCGCTAAAAACCCTTTGGACAACACGTCCTCTGATGTTGACTCTTACTGGGAGGCATTCTGCAACCATGTTAGGTGCTGAGTTTACAGTTTGTGGAACGGTGTAGCAATCTAGATCTTGGCGCTGACTCGAACTCGAAGCTAGGGCGTCTATTCCTCATGGTTGAGAGTAAAATGTCACAAGATGAACTGTCAGAATTTTGGGTGAGGGACAGCATCCGTGTAGATCGAGAACCTTGGTGGATCCGGAAAGCTGAAGAGATGGAGGCGGGGAAAGTAGTGCTCTTCTCAGCAGCCGGTAACTCTTCATGCGCAATAGAGGGCTCGGCCAACTTATCCCGCATTGCTGGAAGTACACCCTGCTTCACTAAGACCCATCTGCTGACCACCTCACCGCGAGTTCGCTGATTCCAGCCGATCTCAGTTATACTTCTGAGACACAGGTGGTCAAAGACCTGAAGATGTACCTAAAATGACCAAGTCCCATAGCCGTACAACAATATAACCCGAACTCTAGTCTGACAAACACATCCTTTTAGACCCAGAGAAACGCTTTCTTGGTGCCATAAGTGGCACGAATTGGTAAGAGCAATTGCGGGCCTCAAGATTCGTAGGTTCACTTCGTCTGTCACATTACCGTCAGAACTGATGAAACCTCAAGGTAAGTAAAACGTTTCACAACATGTAGCGTTAATCTTTGAATTTTTCGAGGTGTGGTCAAAGACCACGTCCTACGCATGGCTTTGCATTTTGTGGGCTCGAAGCGCGTGACGAAATACTGGATGCGCCTGGTCGACTTTCAAGTAATGGCTGCGCTTTCTACTTTTTCTCAAGAGTGAGAACAACGTCTGTATATCCCAGGTCTACAAGGGTCTTGCTCAGAGAGATCTGAACATTGAGTCCCTGCGATCGGGAGATCTGCAGTGACTATCACTGAAAGACTACATGTGTGCGGAATCATTGAAAGCACATCTGACACTGACTAGGGTTTCGATGAGTTACCAATGGTCTTCACGGAACAAATGTTTCACCTCAAACTGTCAAATGTACGTATATAGGGTGCCTAACGGTTGTTTTCCACGGATGAGAATGCAAGCAGTGTCCAACAACTAAACTATCATAAGGCGTTTGTCCCCCCTACCTCCTCTTGGAAGGGAGCTAGCAAGCATTTCACCCTCTGATTTTTGCCTCACAATCGAAGAGTTCCAGGAGGAGCCCACAGCTGAAACAAATTCACCCCGCCCACATGTAGGTATTGCAATGGCCTATAAATTGACCTGGCACACGATTGGCTAATAGAGGAGTCGCATACCCGCTATGTATCACACCCAGCTCTGATTGGTCAAGAATAAAGATCTAGTATTCAACCGGCAGTGTTCAAGGGCCCAAATTTCTGGTGCGTTAGGTGTGAGGCAAAGAAGGCTGTCTCAGTTACACAAAAAATTTAAATGAGGGTTAATGATACTGATATAAATTGAAGTGACTCAGTAACGGTCGGAAATTACGTGAGCTTCCACTATTACAGGTCCCCCGTCCCAATACTAGATTTACCAGTGTTTGATTGATCGCGAAAGTTACAAATCGGGTAGAACAGGATTTGTCGCCGCAAACGGTATTCCAAAGTTCATGCCGCAGCTTTGCTGAGTTTCCAATCTGGCGATTGGTTGTGCACCCACATTTCACTACCTGACCGTTTTTCCCCCTGCCGATATAAAAAACTACATGCGGCCTGTGAACTTTTGGCTGGAACATCCTAATGCTAAATGGTGTTCCGGCACAACCCAGTTCCATGTGCTCGAATTTCTTTCAGCGAATACCCCCAGAAAGACCGTTAAAAATCAGCTTGTCCATTCCACCAACCTGTTACCTTGTGGGCGGTGGGTTGTGGCGCGAGTTCCGCAGTCTTTCGGCCGTTGGATAATTTTTGCTGTCTAGCGCAGTCCACGATCAGCATCAGCTAGGGAGAGGGTTACGTTACTGATAGTCAGGTGGTTGTCCTGGCCGTTCACACTTTGGAGGTAAACAGCTGTGGGTATGGGTTTGGTGTTAGGAGTAAATGGTGAATAGCAGCTGGCGAAGTAAGCGTCTAAATGGTCTGCTATGTTTACAGGATCAGTGATGGGGCCACTGTCTGTGGAACGCAGACAAGTAATTGTATGACTGTTTAGGGTGCAACGCCTACGGAAGACTCTGCTGAGTAATTTGGATTGGAAGGGAGATCTGAGGACGGCGTTCTCTTCTCGGCGTTCGAGAGATACCCGCAAGGATTCTCGGTCGGCAGAGAGTTTGTTGATGAGAATAAGCAACGAGAAATCCTGAGATTTCCGATATTCTCCACTAGCCCGGTGTATTTTGGCATCCAACGTTTTTAATTACCTATCATGGCCGGGTTTATTCATATTCGATAACTCCATTCCTCTGCTTTAGGACTGCACCGATACCGCGATCACTGGCGTCCGTTGCAACAGTGAACATCTCTCCGACCCTGAGAAGTTTGCGGGTTAGTTGCCGATCCAACATCCGAGCTTTGCCACGTTCAAAAGCTTCATGTGCTTCTCCGGTCCATTCGAGTTTCCGATTTTGTCCAAGTAAATCGTACAGTGGCCCAGCGATCTTGTTGAAATCCTTAAAGAACCGGCTGTAGTATGCTGTTCGTCTAAGAAACTGCCGTAGAGACCGCTTTGAGTTGGGAACAGCACGATCCTTGGTAGTTGCCAATTTTTCGGGCAGTGGGCTAACTTCTCCCTGACCCGCTTACGCGATGGGGCAGGGGGCGGGCGGTGTAACGGGTGGGGCCAATGGCAGAGGACCAGGAAATTTCCGGCAGCTTGGAGTCACCCAACAGAAGTTTAGATGGATGAGGAAATGCATGCGCAGTGGAGATGATACAGGAAAGATCAGCAATAGAGGCAAGGGAGCAGCTTTCAAGTGAACTGCGTGCTCTGGTTACAAATTGCTGTAAAGAACGATATCGTCTCCGTACACTGCAACATTCTGGAGTCCTCTCGTTACACGAAGCATCAAGCGCCGTAATGTGAATGGTACCGCGGAAAAACCAAACGGCATTCCTCTAAATTGATATCGGGGGCCCCCAACCGTAAACACCGTTTTCTCCCGGTCCTCCTCCTTGAATGGCAGTTGCCAATATCCGGAATGCAAGTCGAACACAGTAAAGTATCGGGGATGCTGGAGGTAATCGAAAACCTCTTCAATCGAAGGCAAAGCCACAACCCGATTTACAGTCAGTGCATTCA